CCATTCTACTAAAATATTGATCTGTTACCATGCCAACACCTTTGACATCAGAACAGTGTCAAAGACAGTAATAGAGTAGCTGAATGAATTGAGAGAGAATTCTGGTACTAGCATGCTGTCGCTAAATACTACACAAACAGATGTTCTAAATGCTGTTGCACCGGTCTTTCTAAACGCCCCACTGACAGTAATGGAGCGTTAGAAGGGTTTCAGCCTGAATGCATGCAGATCATATATATAACACTGATGCACTGGTTTGTTTTCTATGATTTGTGCTGGAGGGCTACAGTGATGTGACACTAACACCCACCTCTCAGCCTCGATACCAGAGCTGCCACCAGATTGACAAGAAAAAGAGGAGGACGCATGACAATGAGACAGTGAACATGAAAAAAAAATGGTAGGGTGAATTCAATCATGTCTTCTGACGCACACACAACCAACATAGAGAAATGAACAAATACACACTAAACTACGGTATGGATCAGGGCAGTATGTTACAAAGAACAGCTGAGGGGAACATCAAATGAAATGGTTGCTGTACTTTGTGAAATACTTTTAGTAAAGACACTTTTAAACAGTTAGCTCTTCAACACAGAACATCAAATCACACAAGGAATGCTGGTCCACCTCAGAAAAGATGAACACTGCAATCTCCACCCATGTTCCCTTTTCATAACCCCAGATTTTCCTCCAGGCTCTGTCTGTTACCTTCAGTGGGGGAGGCCATCTCCCAGGGTTGGGTAAAAATGCCCTTCAGATCCCTCAGGAGGTTTTCTCCATGGCTCTCCCTCCTGCCCTGCAACTTCTCCTCTTTCTCGCTTTCTTTTTCGGGGGGGACTAAAACACCCAGGGTAGGCAAGGGAAACGGCCGGAAGGGGGTGAAATGGATGAAAAATGTGGGAGAGGTGGGGGCGGAGATCAGACAGAACAGCAACGGGATGAAGGAAACAAACTGAGAGATGAAGGGTGGATCTCTTGTTCAAATAAAATCATCTCATAAGAACATGATGGACAAATGATAAAATCATGTGAGAGCAAATGAATATATAACTATTAAATCAAGCAAAGATGACTTACACTACCGTTGAAAAGTTTGGGTTCAGTAAAAAAAGAAAGTAAAAAGAAAGTTTAATGCAGCAAGAATGCATTAAATTCATTAAAGGTGACAGTAAAGTCATGTTAAAAATGATTTCTATTTCAAATAAATGCTGTTCATTTGAACTTTCTATTCATCACAGAATCCTAAAAAAATGTAAACAAAATATGAACTGTTTTCAACATTGATAATAATAAGAAATCTTTCTTGAGCATCAAATCAGCATATTAGAATAATTTCTGAAGGATCATGTGACACTGAAGACAAGATTAATGCTGCTGAAAATTCAGCATTGCATCACAAGAATAAATTACATTTTATAATATATTAAAATAGAAAACTTTTTACTTTATTAATTCAGCCATGGTAAGCATAAGAGATTTATTTCAAAATCATAAAATCTTACTGATCCCAATGAACTTTTGAACGGTCTATACTTAATGTTTCAATGACAAAGCCTTTTAATTGCCAACATTCAGGTCCATTAAAGTAGTAATAATCTAGCATAAATTACAAACTGCTGTTTGGATGTTGCATGCAGACAATTTAAGGCTTTATCAGAGAGATGCCATCCAATGACAAGGTAAAATCAAACTGGGACTTTGTATGATGATGAGGGCAATCATTTGCATAAAAAATAAGCATGATTTCCAAAAGGAATCCAGAAGCAAAAGAATGTGTGATTTTGTATTTTGGGCTCTGCGAGAAAAGTGGCGACGCAAGGAAAACCTACAGCACTGACAAAAGTCTGTAAAGCTCCACTGTATTTTAAATCAGTTTTCACTTGTCCAACTAATAATAATTTTGTTGGTGGCAGATGAATAAGAACACACCCAGTCCTGGACATCAGCCAACTGCAAAAAAACACGAATCACACTTATATCACTCCAATCCCACATTCCTCGTACCTTTTTTTGGGGCCGTGCGGGAGGAGGGGCTGAAGAACTTCTTTACGGTGGTGACCTTACGGGTCTTCTCATTGGTTTTCTTCTCCTCAAACTTGGAGAAGGTGGCGAGAGATTGCTGAGACTGGGACTGTGGAGGCTGGGTCTGAGAGGAACTGTGACTGCTGACATAAGCTGCCTCCTCTTCTCGCTGCAGCCTGCGACAGGAAGCACATCATTACAGCAATCTGTCTGAACATCATTTCTTCTTTATGCATGTCTTGATGATGCTGAATGTTTCTTTTAATTAATACTTAATGCATGATCTAACAAAACTAAACCACTGGGGTTAAATTCCACTCACTTCTCAGCCAGAGCCCAGTCCTCCTGAATCTGTCTCTGCCGAGCTTTCTGGTACTCCTCCCTCCAGCACTTGGAGCATAGGCCCTGCCATGCAGCGTTGCCATAGTAACCGCAGCCTTTCTTACACAGCAGTTCTGATTGGTCCACATGGATCCCCCGTCGCTCCGAGCGCTGACTCATCGTGTCCCTTTGTCTAGGTAAAGAAACATGTTTGTCATTGTGATCTGAATTTGCACATCCGGTCTGCAGTACATGCAGCAAGACAACTGGAGGTGGGTTACATAATGTGCTCTGCAAAGACATACAACTCTTGCAGAACATGCCAGAGATGTCAAATCAGATATTCATACTTAGATTTATATTTCAGAGCTAAAGGGCAAGTAAACTAGTCAAATGCATAGTTTTAATAATTATACAGGGTGAATTCAGGTAAATTGGGACACTTGATGCCATTGAGATGTCTGGGAAAAAAGTCCCAATGAACCTGAATTCACCTAACCTTACAAAAAATGATGTCTAAATTATACTGCGAATTATTAAACGACCAATGACGCAGTAAATCTCCATCGAAATGAAAAAGTGAGTAGTTCAAACGTGTTTGATCTTGTGTCTTTATCATTTCCATGAAATAAATGTTTAAAAGCACAAACACTGATGACATGAAATTAAACTCCAGGTATTACACCATATAACGTTACTGACATCGTTCAATGCCGGTATGTTGTAGCTTAAACATTTTATTAATTGACTAATAGAGGGTTTAAAAGTAACCTAGAAAATACATTATCGACTGGTAATAACAGAATGTCATTCAATCCGCCGCAGGCAGACGCGTCAAGCTAGCAAAACAGCTACGTGGCTAAAAACAACCGCAACAGCTCATTGTCAGCAAGATAGAAGATAAATATGTATTACTAGTCTAAAGCGATACTGAATAAAAATAAATAACAAAACACTGAAAAACAACGGAAAGTTTCAGTATTCAATGTTAATCTACCGGACAGCGACAGATAGATACCTCGTCGGCGGTCTCTTCTCCAGGGTCACAATTACATCATATCCTCGCGACTGGTGTATGAGTTGTGTGGGCGGGGCTATAGGTGGGCTGATCTCGGAATGTCAACACTCCCTACGACAAATACAGCGCATTCATCATATTTTGTACATTTGTTATCCATGATCTATGATAATTGAAGCATTATTATAAACGTTTAAATGTAAAGAAAAAAAAAGGATCTGCTTTTAATAAATTGCAAAATATATTGTTTATTATCAGCACAATAAGAGCCAGAACAATGATGCAATACAAACAACAGTATTCAACAAATGTACAACAGAATAAATATGCATCAGTTTAGACTTGAGCAACATAACGTAAACTGGGCAAAACTGAAACTAAATCCCAGTTAGGATTATCATGTGCATTTTAACTGGTATTAGATATTCTGCTGCCAAAACACAGAGAGCTGGTGCAACTTCACGTGGCCTTCACAGCTCTCACAGCAAACCAATGAGAGACAGAGGTTTCAGATGACTAAAATAACAAATAACGCTAAATCATCTAAAATTGTTGAGGGTTATGGCAATTAAAAGCATAGACAAATGCTGTTGGCAGCAGAAAATAACTTCATAAAGTGTCAAAGTAGCAAAATAGGCAATCTAACCTGCAATAAGGTGGCTAACAGTCTTTAGTATAATTTTAAATATACTCATTTTAATTCACATTCAGGTCATATTTATTTTAGTACATAAACTTATTCTAAAAAAAAACTATTTGGGCTCTCATTTAAGAACAGTTTACTTTTTGACATAAATCAAAACTTTTATACTTTTATGTGATGTATGATTATTTTAGAAGGCTTTATGTGAAGCTTTGGGTGGCTGTAAATACCAGACATTTGTATTCTTGTTAAAGTCAGTATCTGCAGAGGTTGCATGATCTATGGCAGGGATCCTCAAATCTGGCCCACGAGATCCACTTTCCTGCAGAGTTTAGCTCTGACCCTAATCAAACACACCTGAGCATACTAATCAGTGTCTTCAGGATCATTAGAAAATCACAGGTAAGTGAGTTTGATCAGGGTTGGAGCTAAACTCTGCAGTGCATTGGACCTCCAGGGCAAGATTTGAGGAACCCTGATCTATGGTGTTCATTACTGGAAACATGACATGGATCAGGTCCTACATATATGTCAAGTAAAACAAATTGGGTAAAGTCATTTTAAAATACTGTATGGAAATATATATATATATATATATATATTTTTTAAAGAAATAGCAGTGACAGACTTTCAGTTTCCGAATATGGGTCCAGTTGACTGATTCTTCGATCAAACTGTTAATACAATCATTACATCTAACACGGAAACATACTTAAGAGATGTCATATTTAGAACAGGAAACACTGTTTCACATACGTTCACTTCCTCTGCGGACGATTCCAGAAAATCTCTTCAGAACTACAACTGGACGAAATGATTCCAGGTTTATTCTAAATTAACTAAGTTAAACAATTACTTACAAAAACTAAGGAATCAATAGAGCTGCCCATAAAATAAATGTTGGGTTGCAAACCGCAGTTTCATGAAGAAACAAAAGAGCAAATGCCACAATTATAGCCATCTTTTTCAGAGGAACCCTGATCTACGGTGTTCATTACTGGAAACATGACATGGATCAGGTCCTACATATATGTCAAGTAAAACAAATTGGGTAAAGTCATTTTAAAATACTGTATGGAAATATATATATATATATTTTTTTTTTAAAGAAATAGCAGTGACAGACTTTCAGTTTCCGAATATGGGTCCAGTTGACTGATTCTTCGATCAAACTGTTAATACAATCATTACATCTAACACGGAAACATACTTAAGAGATGTCATATTTAGAACAGGAAACACTGTTTCACATAAGTTCACTTCCTCTGCGGACGATTCCAGAAAATCTCTTCAGAACTACAACTGGACGAAATGATTCCAGGTTTATTCTAAATTAACTAAGTTAAACAATTACTTACAAAAACTAAGGAATCAATAGAGCTGCCCATAAAATAAATGTTGGGTTGCAAACCGCAGTTTCATGAAGAAACAAAAGAGCAAATGCCACAATTATAGCCATCTTTTTCAAAAGCTTGTCATTATTTCCACTCATTTTGAGTAGGACTCCATGATCCTGCTGGTTTCATATAACTGTAGACAGTAGCAAACATCATTTGCTCGGACTTGCACATCTCAGTTCTTGGCAAAAGAAACATCAGCTAAAACACCTCACCTTCACCACCAGGTGATTTTAAACTCATAGATTGGCCTTTTGCAGTAGTAGTGGTTAATGAGGTGTTTGTCACATACGCCGATGCATTGCTGGTCAGCAGAGATGCCACGCTCTGCCAGGTCGCTTACTATGCAGTGAAGAAGGTCATAAACATCCGCCACTGCCTCCCAGGGCCCGAAGGACACGTCAACATCACAATGGTGCTCAAACAGCTTGGCCTCACTCTCCGAGCGCTCAAATCGCAGCGAATTGAACAGTGGTCTTTCATAAGGGGTGATGGGCATCTCCTCCTTGTAAACACAGATCTTCAATTTTGCAAAACGAGCCTTCCGCTGCATGGCACGAAGTTTTGCAATCTCCACGATGCGCTCAAGATTTTCTAGAAGAAAAGGGGACAATTGGTAAATCAACGGAAAACCCCTTTTTATTATTTTTATTTATGATTTTACATTACCTTTATAATAGGGCAAAAGATCAAGAAAAGCCTGTCGAACTTTCTCTCCGGTAAGTGGCTGCGTGTCTTCAAGGCTTTCCAAAAGAGGCCCAATAGCATAATACTGAGCGTCCCTGTGCACCGCACGAACACGGTCCCTCTGAGGCAGCTCACCCTCTCGCAAGAAATTCAGAATATCCCTAATGCCAGAGAAGTACATATAAGCATTTCTAATAAGCATCATATCAAGCAGTTATTTAAGTAATCCACTGATGAAATAATAATGGCTGAATTCAGATAATCAAAATGTTTGCTTTGTATTTTTGGGTACTAGGCACCGACCATAATCAGATTTTATTAATCTAAACACTAACCCAAAATATGCTCCGTCTCGGTCTATGAAATATCGTCCCTCTGCATCCCTGGGAATGTGGTGGCGGCCACTAAACATGGCAGCCAGCATTGTGTCCTCATAACGTCGCAGGGTGGAGAGCCGAGTGGTGAAATATGTTCCTCCTACATTCAGGGGGATGACCTCAGGGAACTACGGAGAGAGAGGAGGAACAGAAATAGACATTAGTCAATTTTTTTATGTAAAAGACATTAGTATTTTACATTAGTCTGAAGGGACACTACTGCTCAAAAGTTTGGGGTAATACGAATGTTTTTGAAATAAGTCTCTTATGCTCACCTAAGATGTATTTATTTGACTAAAAACAGTAGTATTTTGAAATTTTATTAGAATGGAAAATAACAGTATTTTATTTTAATATATTTTAAAATTATGGCAGAAATGTAAAGTTATGGCAAAGCTGAATTTTCAGCATCCATTACTCCAGTCTTCAGTGTCACATGATCCTTCAGAAATCATTCTAATCTGCTGATTTGGCACTGAAGAAACATTTCTCAAACAGTTCTTCTTAGTATCGATACTGAAAACAGTGATGCAGAAAACCCATGATGCATTTTTTTAGGATTCTCTGATGAATTTAGCATTTAAGAGAACAGCATTTATTTGAAAGAGAAATCTTTTGTAACATTATAAATGTCTGTCATTTCTGCTTCCTTGCCAAATAAAAGTGTTATTATTATGATTTAATTTTTTATTTTACTGACTACAAACTTTTGAACGGTAGAGTATAACATATATATATCACTGTACTAAAAGGCATAGCTATGCACGGGAACTTCTTAACTATCTACTAGCAGAGCAGGATCAGTTCCCTCCCCGGTTCATTTGAATGCTGTTACATGTTTAAATAATTCTCTTAAAACCCGTTGGCAATGATAAACAAAGGTGTTAGGCTAATCATATTGCACATGTTGACAGGTCACGCAGGTTTGTCAGCAGAAATCTGCGGTGACACCTTTAACATAATAGACCTTGCAAAACACGATTAGTTTAATCCAGCAGATATGATTTGATGGACGTGTGATATGAACCAATCAGAAACGACGTCCACCCGCCCCACTGGGATAAAGAACCAATCCGATTGCAGCAATCGGCAAGCAAACACGCTCAATAAATCTGTTGCCTATGGAAACGGTTATGATAAAGCACGGGAATCTGGGCAACTTTGACACGGCTCCTCCAGATGGTCTTTTGGAAAAACAAACAAACAATTACTGGGGCGAAACGCAGATGGTCGGGGGTATTTTTAATTTGCATTTAACTTCTATGCATTACACTACAACTACTACCCTGTTATAAAAATAGCACATCCTCTTTAAACCTCGGGGACTTACCTCCTCAGGTGCGTCTAAAGTGCGAAGGGACTTCCCTAAATTAAGATTAGGAATAGGTATGGCTGGTTTGCGATACACCTCTTCCCCGGTGTCCGCGCAAGACATCGCATCTCCCTGTTTCTCAGTGTCACTCGCAGCCGAAAACACCACCATCACTCTCGGCTGAGGAGGGACCGTCCGCCCCTCCTGCGCGAACCTCCTCACCCGTGATGCTGCCATTTGGAGCGGAGCTGCTGCGCTAAAGGAAGGCGGAGGCGGTTCTCCGTTCGGGGTTTCGCCTGCTCCATTATGCTGCATGCACACACCCACAGCAGGTCTGATACGAGTGTCTATTAAGGCCCGTATGTTGATGTGTTTAGTCATCTGCAATACTTTCCATAGAAAAATATTTGCAAAAAGCAGAGAAAAAGTGCTGGACATCTGCATCGAGAATCGTAAGTGTTTTTCTATGTGTTTCATGCTATGGTATCAACAGTACGGTTACCGTTTCAGTCAGTGAGAACGTGACAGACATAAAAAAAAGCATCCTTGATACAAACCAGATTTAAATGTGCTCCTAAATGTGTTTTCTTTGTCTGTGTTCAATTGAAATCACATGTTTATGATCAGAAAAGAGTCTTCACAAGTTGATTTGTCTGTTTTGACAATTTGGTCCACACTTCAGTATAGTCTACACATCATTTCAAGAGTTTCCATACACCAAATCCTTCTGTGAACTTCCTCTAGCACGGGGGAATCTTACTGTTAAAATACAACAACATGGTCAAAATCATCTGATGAATGCCTAGAAATGATTCAAACCACATTTGGGACAAATAAATGTGAAGTTAACCGATCGAAATGGCCAAAACTTTGTTGTTGTTTTTTTTGAAGAACCAAGCCTGAATCCTGGGACAGCTGTTTTCTCTCAGATAAAACAATACAGACCCCCTAAAGAGTACAGAATATTATGACCTGAGACTAGATGAGACCTTATTATTAAACTTGCTGGCGAAAATTGCTAAAATCTGACACGCGATACTTCCAATCACTTATTTGGAATGAAGACGACGCGATTATAGAGTAGCGAACAGTTTTCAGTGAAGGCACTCCAATGTTAGAGAGAACGTTCGAGAAACAGTCACGGGCTTTCGACATTTTCGTATATTCCGACAAAAACATTGGTTCATGAAGTATCTCTCTGTGCTTTCGTTAGGTCTTAAATAGACTAATTTGATTTGAATCATTCATTGGCACACATAAAAAAAAGGCCAAAGGTAGTTTTAAGCCGACTTTGTTCTTCAAGATTCATCGGCATAGATTTTAACGCAAAAAAAAAAAAAGTCCAATTCCTCAAGGTGCAGGTCAAAGCGACAGCTAATTTCAGTGACATTAACTACCAGCTGTTCACTGGCTCATTATAGCAACTAAGCTTGATTGCGATTTATAAACGTACGTTATCTCAGAACGTTCGCAGGTTAATTAATTACCTGAAAACCCAATTCAAGAGCGTCAATCGGTTTGCCTTTCTAGTGAATACAGCCAAACGCAATTCATCTTGAATTGTAATCTTTAAAAATAGTTAAAACAACTCAAATGAGTACTAATTAAAATCATTAATGCAATACATATAAATTCTGCTTCCTTTGTCAATGTAGTAACTGTTCATCCAGCTCACTAACAGAGTAAATATATGGGGAAAAAATAAAATAAAAATGATAATCTTCAGAATTAATCAATAGACATGTATCAAAAGTACATCATTTAAATGTAATCCAATACTGCCGGCAGTCTATTAGTCTAAAAATATGTAACCTGACCTTTTATAGTCCCTTCCATTACAAAAAAAAGAACACGTATAACAATATAAGACATCAATATGTAAAAGACCGTATCTATAAATAAGCGAACCACACCAACAAACAAAAAAAATATCTACCATTAGTTTATGCGTGTAAATAAAAAGAACTTAAGTGTACTATGTGATATGCTGCAGGACTGCTAAATAGCTTAGGGACGTGAGGAGGTGTTTGCTTCCACTGCCTGTGGAGAGTAGTAGTAGTAATATACAAATATAGATTGCTCTTGTCAACAATCACACACACACACACACACACTCAAGGTTCGCACACAGACGAGCGCGTGGCACCACCGCTCTGCGCTTTCGTTCACAAAATCAACTGCATACAATGACACAAGGGCCAGAGGTGAAAGGTGAGCAGGTTTCGAAAGGTGTTTCAGGAGAGAAAGAACGTTTCTACAGAGGTGCAGAGTCCTTGCCGCGTGTAGATATTCACCTCAGGCTACTAACGTTAAAAGAGCTTTTCATTCACAATCTACATATTTTCCTCTTTTTTTTTTTTTTTTTTTTAATGTGTGTTTAACAAGAAATGTGGATGAAAATGTGTCCGAGTCCTCCATCATATACAGTATGAAGAAAAAACAAAAGTCCATTTCGCAAGGTGTTTTTCCAGTCGTTTCGGAGGACAGATGCGTGCCGTGAACATACTCGGTAATGTTGCGGACGCCACGAAAAGCTCGTTTACGGTTGGGTGAACAGTGAATGGAGAAGCTGGTGAAAAACCTGAAGTTTTGAGTTTGCACAAGAGCGAGCGGTTAGGTGGGTTTCCCCCGCACTCGGCGTCCGGTACCCTGGTGCTGAGGACCAGCCCATACAGTGCAGTGGCCCACGGCCACACCATAGAATTAGAATTTAGAACACCATAGATATTGGATTAGAATTGTAATTCTATGGGCCTAAACTGCCCAACTTGGTTAGAGGTCTCTGATGTATGGTTCTATTATAAGAGGATAAAAATCAGGCATGTTCATTCTCTTTAAAAATATCTTGTCAGGAATATTTACTCAAAGTACTGTACAAATCCTTTTTTCTTCTTCACTATATGTCATTGTTTTGGCCTAAAATGACGTTTATTATTAAACAAGACCTCCACGGGCTTCAAAACGCAAGTCGCTGAGGCGATTAAAGCTATGGAGAAAAATTAACGAGCGCTACTCTTACAAGAGACCTAAATAACGATAAAAATTGACACTTAGCTATCGAGTTACGAAATTTATCCCGTCTCCCATTTGTGTCGACCTTACAACAACAGTATGAATTTTGCGTGACCGTGGATTCTTATTTACGACGATTATTTTTCATTCACGTGATTTTCTTTCTCTTTTAGGCCGTTGGCGTGTAAAATCAAAAGGAGTGCTGTTTAGAGTCAACTGACTGTGCAATCTCTCGGTGGCAACTTAATTGCTATAAAAAGGATTTTCTTCTCACATCTGAGAAGCTTCCAAACTGTGAAAATAATGCGGGTTCCATTACGCTGGAATCCATTGCGTACTAGAGTTGCATAGCCATTGGATGGCCTCCTCTGGGGTAGGGAGGGAGAGGCAGGTGGGACGGTGCACCCGTGTTCCTTCAGCCAACACTTGCTTTTAAACGCTTGACTTTTGGCTTGAAACCCGTTCGAACTAGTCTCTGCTGACGGCCGAAGCATATGTGATACAAAAGAGGAAACTCCCAAGAGACTTGAGAACTGATAAATTATTGTAACAGTTATTCAGCTTGTTGGTGAGAAGGTCTCTATTAGAAACAGAGACACTGTGATTTCATAGTGTGTATTTGTTGTTGTTGTTTTTTTTGTGACTGTCTTGAGAATATTTTGTGGGAACACTCCCTCTCCTGTGCTTTTCAGTTTTGTGTCTTCACCATTAGCCAATGGTGTCACAGCCCTGTGGCCAGCAGGGCCGTTAAGTGCTTCACAAAATAAACAGACTAAAAACTTGGTTTCCTTTTCTTGTTCTTGTCTCTGATAGCCCACTTCTAAACAGCAAATCGAAAACCCTTGGGTTAACCGGTGTGTGTGCACCAGGCTTGGCCGAGTTAGCTCAGTGAGGGACAAAGTGAGAATAAAACAACAACATGGCGGCGCTTTAGAACTCCCATTCGTGAGGCTCGTCGCGGTTTGCCGCTTTCTCCAGCCTGTGGATGATGTTGTTAAGGTTGGCTGCCTTCTTCTTGCGCAGACTGCTGTCCTTTGGGTTTCGGCAGGGGGTCGCCGTGGCAGTGGCGGCGGATACAGACTCAGGGATGCCGAAGAGGCTGTCTATGATGCCTCCTTGTGGCCTGCTGGTGCCTGAGGCGCTGGGGAACTCAGCCTCGCCCTCTTCGTCTCTGTGGCTGAGGCTGGGGCTCTCCAGGAGGCCCTTGCACTCCTCGGAGCCGCTCGGTCGACCCTCCGCGGTGCTGTCAGACTCTGTGCCGTCGCAGCTGTTGTCTCCTTCGCCCCCAGACTTCCCGGGCCGCGCTGAGGGGGACCCGCCTTCGCCGGCCGCTGCCTGGATCTCTTCGATAAAGAGCTCTCGTCGGATACGGGATCTGTGGGAACAACGAACGAGACTCGTTAGAGAAGGAACAAAGGTAGGTGGACGTGTAAGCTAAAGCCCCAAGCATACTTTTTTTTTTAAACGAAGGAGACAGAACAAGAATAACAAACCACTGAAGACGGCAACAACACTAGACGCTGGTTTTATTGCAACCAAAATTTCCAAACATTTCATTTCATATTTCGTCTCAGTATGACATCATAGTGAGACGAAAGACTACCTCTGGAGAAGATCAACGCCTACTTCTACATTATTGCCTCTTTAGCCCCGCCCACCGATTTGCACATGTAGTAGGAGGCAAGTAAATGAAGTTTCAGACCGCGTCAGGAAGACACTGTTGATAGATTTGCTTCATTTTACTGCAGATTCACTTTTAAACAAAACACCATTCAAAGCAGAGACTTAAAATTAAAGACAAGGCAGTGCTGACTATATTGAATCCAACATTAAAGTTGCAACACACAAGTATGAATAACAATGTGTCGCTATTGCTTTGTCTGTTACAGATTGTCATATATGTACCGGGTATTTATAAGTTTTTAACTAAAAAGACCTATATTGCTTTCAGAGCACATCAATGAGCAATGTCCATGTATTATTTTAATAGTAAAACTGTTACCCAATCTTAGCAGTGGCCGTTTACTAACAAGTCTTGAATGTGGCACGTCTATCAAAATGAGTGTTTCAAAGAGAAGGTCAAAAACAGGATAGAAAATAGCCTATTACTTCTAAATTTTGTTTTTTGGTGTAAAAATCTTACTAACATTATAAGTGGACCACAGAGAACATTATAAAATAAAAAAAAATGAAGTTCACAACCCCTTTAAGGGTTAAAGCGCCTCAGTACCTGTAGTTGTGGAACCAGTTGATGACCGTGCTGGTTTTGAGGTTGAGCTGGCTCGCTAACTCCTCGATGGTTTTAGGGGAGGGGTAAGGCTTCTGCTGGTAGGCTCTCTTCAGAGCTTCCTTCTCTTCTGGAGCCAGCACTACACGGACTTTCTTTAGCTGGGGCTGCTGCTGCTGCTGCTGCTGCTGGGAGAGGTTTTGGGGGCTGGCGCTCTGAATGAGGTCACTTCCTGACAGACCACTATCCAGCGAATGACTCTCACCGATGGAGCTGTGGCGCCTCTTCATGTAGGCTGGAAAACACATATGGAGAACAGCTGTAAATACAATCAGAGAATATACATACAAATAAGCATATGTGTTGGCCCATATTTATCGGCCAATACTTTTAATATTGGGGGCAATATGTTCCCCTCAGTGTCTGTGGTGGTTACCTTCCAACTGAACAGCATGTGCTAGATGCTGTAGATTAAATTACAGTTCATAAAATGCATGATTGCTGTATTTTTCTCTAGTCAGTAGGGGGCAGTCTTTGATTACAAATATTATTATTGCCTCTTGAGATCTTTGTAAGTTTGACTCATACATCAGCATTACAAAAATAATTCTAAAATAATTATTAAATCATCCAAAATATGGGAGATACAAGGGTTTTACTATAAAGATGACCTGCTCATTTGAAAGCTTTCAAAGTTTTTGCATTTGTTGCACGGTTTCATTTATTTTATGTCGGTTTCTGTTTTGAGCATTGCTGTTTAGCAAATTATGCTAATTTAAATAATTAATCTTCATAACATAAGATAACATTTTGTACTAGTGAGTGTCGAATGTTTTGCATCAGGTCATAATTTTCTTATAAATGTATTGTTTATAGCTATCAAAAATGTGTATTGTATTGTACTATTCATAATCAGAAACAATTATTTTTGAAAGAAACAAATGCCAAGAAATATATTTTTAAACATTGATAATAATAATATATGTTTCTTGAGCACCAAATGAGCATATTAGAATGATTTCTGAAGGATCATGTGACACTGAAGACTGAAGTAATGGCTGCTGACAATTCAGCTTTGCATTTAAAATACATTAAATGTATTTACACTAAAACAGAAACCAGTTATTTTAAATTGAAATAATATCTCACAATATTACAAATAAAATTATTAGTGCAAGTAAAAAAATATTGGCAGGGAAGTGCAAATCTGGATTCCTGGCACAGCTAGGCCCAAATATTCTCCAAACACCAAGAATTCCTTCTCCATCGAACAATTTACAGTTTAAGGAAAACTAATTCCAGTAATAATAGCACAGAGTAATCAGTATAATGTCTTTTTATTTTTTCTTAAATGAACACAAACAGAGAGCAAGCACATTAATATCCTTTTTCTGATTAAAAAAAGCACAGTACAGCTAACTACACAGCTGTGTGTGAAATTTGTCATTTCTGCTGCATTTCAGTGTCTGTTGAAGAGGAGCCTTTAGCAACAGTAATGGTAAAAGATTCCGCTGGTGGCCAAAACTCTCAGAACAAGGGCCAAGCAAGGCTAATTTGCTTTGTGCCTCTAGCCAGCGTCGAGGTCAAACTCATACTCTTTTCTGAAAAGCTAGAGCAAAAGACAGCGAGATGGAGAGAGACGAAAACAGAGAGAGGGAACACGACAGCAAAGCTGTTGCTTTCTGTCCCTGGCAAGTGCACATTGAGCTTAAGGGGTAAATGGTGGAGCCAGTTTCACTCTAATGAGGAGGTCCCCCCAAGTTCGCCCTCTCCACGCGCACACAAACCGCAAAGCCTGACTCATAACAAAGCCATCGTCATCATCGTCACCCAAGGAGCACCAGTAATGTCACTTTTAGCCCGAAAGGAGTGTTAAACAGGCCTAATGACTCCAGGAATGTTCACTTGGCCTGCTGCTAACTCGCAGGCGTACGGGCCCGGCGCTGGGTGCAGTGGACTTTAAGTAAGCCAGCCCCACAGAGCCGTCAGCCTGTCACAGCCGATCACAGAAATGACATCTCCCACCCTCATCAATCCAGACAGCGGAGCGACGAGCGGCCTCACAGAGCATGTGTGGCCTATTCAGCAGCCAGAGGACACATCTGGGCTATTAAAGAGGGAAAAAAAGAGCAATCAAACAGCCCATCAGGCCTCCCTCCGCCTGACCGCCTTATCTCCGGCATCTCGCGCATCTCTTCACATTAAAGAGAGGCACGCTGACGAGAGGCAGCTTAAAGATTGTTTACTGCAACTCCTGCGCCGACTGGAATCAATACTGGATAAACACAATCGCACAGTTGGCAATAATTAGCAGGTGCTGCATGTAAATATGGACACATGATCAAGGTACTGACGATCTGCGATGGCTGTGCATGAAAATACACAATTGTATTGTATAATGTGAGACAGATTAAGTCTTTGTTTACAAATTTTACTTGTAGCTTCGAAAATGTAACATGTTCATTTATTTATACTTATATTCAAATTATTTTTTTTATTCAGCAAGGATGCATTCGTGGATCGAAAAGTGACAGTAAAGACATTTATATTGCTTATAAAGATTTCATAATGCTTATAAAGATTGTTTTACTTTAAGTTTTTTGGTTCATTAAGATTTTTATTTTAAAACAAACTTATTTTTAGAATTATGTACTTTTGAACTTTATATTTAAAAAAAATCCTGAAAAAAATATATTAAGCAGCACAACTGTTTTCAACATTGATACTAATGAGAAATGTTTCTTGAGCACCAAATCAGCATATTAGAATGATTTCTGAAGGATCATGTGACACTGAAGACTGAAGTAATGATGCTGAAAATTCAGCTTTGCTATCACAGAAATCAAATGTAAAATATATTAAAAATAGAAAACAGTTATATTAAATTATAATATTTCACAATATTACTGTACCTTACTGCATTTTATCAAATAAATGCAGCCTTAGTGAACATTAGAGACTTCTTTTAAAAACATTAATAAATCCTACTGACCACAAACTTTTGAAGTGTAATTCAGTGCCTTTACTGTATGACACAAAAAGCTGATGTAACTGGCAGAAGCTATTTGAATATAATACATCAATCATTTTACATATAACATTTGGAGGAAAACACACACACACATTATGTAAGATTTTACAGTGGCTGAAATAGTTTTGCAGAATGACAAAAATAGTAAAAAAAAAAAGCACCATCTAGTTTTGTGTGACTGTGGCTGGATTGAGCTTTTGAAAACAAATGTGGTGAGGACATTATCCTTCACCCTGGCTACTGATGTTAGCAGTTCCTGGTGTGAAACTAGCAGGTTTAAAGTGGCTAAAACCAATAAATACGTCCCGGAGCTGCTTTTTCTTTACATGGAACCGGCACAGATTGAGCACCAGCACTTTGTTAGTGAAAAAATAGGTCGAAAGGAAGTGGAAACACAACCCAAATGAGCACTATGGTTCAGGCAAACTGCTGCAACACAGCTCCATCGTCAAGTGAAAACAAAAACAAAAAAATTTATAAAATTCTACACCAGACAGCCGTCTTTTAAATGTCCCGAAAAGACCTGCCAACTAAGCCGACACTGAACAAACTGTGAAGCACTTTAATAAACACTGAAATAAAAACATTCTGAAACAACACAGACAATTGCAAACAGGTGTTTGTTGGTGTGCGGCCAGACAGCGGCAGATGCCTTTAGAGGAGGAAGATTACCTTTCTTTTCCATCCGCTTCATGTCCATAAGCTTCTCCACTTTCCGCGGGTCACTCAGCCACAGCTGCATGCGTACGAATGGCTCTCGACCCTTCAGGCTGAGCTTGTGCCAGGGCTTGGGCCGGGCCAGCAGATCAGACACGGAGCCCTGCGTCAAACCCAAGATGCTCTCGCCAAACAGACGCTGGCCTGTAGAGCAAACCAATCAACTTCGTCAAGAAACCGTCTTATGACTCAACGTTGGACAACTTGAAATTGTCCAAATACTTGTCTTAACATTAAACAATATATTGTTTTATTATTAACAAACTTATTTTTGTGAAATATTTTACTTGAAGTATTTTGTGCTATATTAAAAAAAGCCACTTGGTTTGATATTTTGTTATACAATGCAGGACATTTATACACGTTAACTGTGTCTTAAGTGTCCAAATACGTTTTGAGGCCACTGTAGATAGCTTTTATTTATTTTGGGCCAATATAATAATTATTATTAAAAAATAAATAAAATAAAATAAAATTCAGGAACATTCTTTTACTGTATTGTGGCATCAAGTTTGATCAAACAAATCCTGATGATTTGCTCCACCTTAAAGTAAAGGTGCTTTTAATCTGCATTCAGGTTTAAAAAGCAAACACAAACAATTGCATTCATCAAGAAACCTTCATATGAGCATGTTGCCAAAATGCCACTTGGTTTGATATTTTGTTATACCTGTTTTGAGGCCACTGTATATACATTTCATTTATTTTGGGCCAATATTACCATTAAAAAAACAAAGAGTTCGTGAGAACATGTTTTTATTGTGATATGGCATCAAAGTTTGATCAAACAAGCTCTGCTGATTTCGCTTTTAACCTCCACCTTTAAGACAAGGTGCTTTCAAATGGCCGCTTAAGCTTTCAATGTTTTTTTTTTCACTCAAAATAAAAGGCACCTGAATCCTCTTGACAATAACTGAGATCCGTCTATGTTCAAAAAGGAAATGTTCCCCAGAGTAAAACAAAAGCCTGCGATCCCAGAAGATTATTTCTCTCTCTCCCCACAGACTCGTATCAACACAGCTGTCTTTACATTCTGCACTCTATACAGGTTAATACCACTACAGAGCACAACAAATCTTTGTTGCTCCCGAGACAAAAATCGCGTCAGGAAATGAGAATCTGCGAGATGAAAGAGACTGTCACAGCATCACGCTGAGGTATCATCTGTGCGATATATCCGTATTCTCCTTTGTTATATTGTGATCACATGACTTTAAAAGAAGAAAGTCAAAGACAAAGCACTGGTGTTTTCGGCCAATTCTCTTTTGAACATGAGGACAACGGTTGGTGTGAGTTAAAACAAACGGTGAAGGAGAAAGTAGCTGTGTCCAGTGTGACATTCTCGTTCGACCTCTCATTAATTATGGCAGGGACATTGAGACAGTCGTAGTGGACGGCCATTAAGTGCTAAAGCAGGGCCAACCTGTCCTCCACCTGTCCTCTCATGTGGAGAGACATTATTAATACACCATGTATTGTCTCTAATAATGAGTACAATTTATGGAATAATAGAAAGTAGCATTCAGAAGTCCGATTCATTCAGTAAATCAGTTAATTTAGAGTTTCCACATTTTTTGAGCAATGAATTTCCATGACATTTCCAGTTGATTGTGGTTTACTTAGGGCTGCACGATTAATCAGATGTGATTGTCATGTGTATCTTGTCAGTAAAGCCAGTTCTGTGATTAGTAGTAAATCTCCAGCACGTGCTTTCAGATGGAGCAGCGTTTACTACACAGAGCCGTAGTTCACTGACAAGCTACGCAAAATCGCGTTCATAATCGCAGACGATTTAATTATGAAATCGAAGAAATAGTTCTGCGATTATGAAAGCTGTTTGCGTAGCTTGTCAGTGAACTATGGCTGTGTAGTAAATGCTGCTCCACCTGAAAGCACGTGAAAATACCACATTTAATAACATGTTTTTACTCCAAACTCACTTATTTTATAATAAATTATAATAAGACGAACTCGGATAAACCATATATTGTCATAGTCGTGTGTTTATTAGTCACGTTGAATTAATGAAAGCAGTTAAATCTTCTGTTTATTCAGCAACCGCTATTGGGATTTCCTGGGTTTCTTCTGCAAGGAGTATTTGGAGTTTCAGCGTGAGAGCGCCCTCTGGCCTTCGGATGGAGATTTACTGCTGATCACAGAACTGTGCTTCACTGAAAGATACGCATGACAATCGCAGTTATTGCCTAATCGCGATTTATCGCCTTTGCGATTTAATTTCGATTAATCGTGCAGCCCAAGACCGTTTACTAGATAAGGATTTTAATAAATCGCTTCAACAAAACCACCAATGAATTATTCAGACCATTTGGGAACCAGTTTGACTGATTGAATGAACTGAATTAAAAAAAAAATACTCGGAAATCAAACATTACTACGGTTTCTAAGCAAGTGAAGCAAGTTTAAGTGTAAGCAAGTGTAAGCAAATATATATATTTGTGCAGAAATTAGTTAATTTTTTTATGTCTGACCACAAATATTAATTATTAAATAGTTTATTCTATAATATTATTTATAATAATATTTATATAAAAATGATCAATCAAATTAACAAAACAGCATTAAAATATACCAAAAATAACAGTAAAAACTGTAGAATTCTTCACTAGTCAACCATGACCATATCTATAATGTAGGTAACTACTAAATCATGGGTATGGTATCGCAGCTAGTCCATATTTCGTTCACTGAGGTACATTGGACACCACTGTTTTCTTAACATACTCACCAAGGTTGTTATCTGTTAGAACTTCTTTCACTTTCTTGGTGATGGTGTAGGTGTCCAGCTCGGGCGACATTGCTACCATCTCTTGTATGCTGAGACCCGCGTGTCCTGGCAGAGGTAACGGTAGAGGCGTGCCGGGCTGGGACTCGGAAGTTTCGCTGGGCTCCTGGATGGATGCTCGGCACATCTGCTCCTCCTGCTGGCTTTTAACCGACTCCTCAGCCGAACTCAGAGGGGATTCTGGGGCAGGACTGCAGCTGGCTGAGGTCTTCGGAGTAATCTCTATGGAAACGAGAGGAACAGAATTAAAACGTTGTGCCAATGCAGCACGTGACCTCATCCGTTGGCTGGGCATTACTTATTGACAGAAGGCCTGAATAAAGATCGATCTAAATATGGAGTGAGTAGCCAATGAAACCTTAACCCTAACCAAGGTCTTCCTGCTCAGCAACAGGAAGTGATGGACAGTGACAGATGCATCATGTTATGCCAAGTCACAGCTTCTCTTGAAGTATAATAAGACAATTAAATTAACGAGTAAGAGAGACAAGCACGTTTGGTGTTCTGTGAATTAATATGGTCAATACCAAGGTAGCTCCTCCAATAACGCTTATATCTGGGTTTAAAGTTATAGTTCACCCAAAAATAAAAATTGTGTCATCATTTACTCACTCGTTGTTCCAAACCTGTATGACTTTCTTCTATGAAACAGATTTTTTTTGGAAGACTCTCCAAGCTGCAAGGCTGAAATTACACTATTGTTTAAAGGAGTACAATTTCTTATTTTTTAATTAATACTTTTATTCAGCAAGGATGCACTAAATTGATCAAAAGTGACAGTAAAGACATTAATAATGTTACTAAATTTCTATTTGAAATAAATGCTGTTTTTTTAAACTTTCTATTCATCAAAGAACACTGAGGAAAAAAATGATCAGTTTCCACAAAAATATCAAGCAGCAAAACTGTTTTGATAGTAATTGATAGCAATAATAAATGTTTTTTGAGCACCAAATCAGCATATTAGAATGATTTCAGAAGGAAAATGAATAAATCACAGAAATTACATTTTAAAAAACTAAATTAAATATATTATATATAATAATTATAATATTATAATATAAATTTTAATATACATTTTTATATTTAAAATTTTAAATACTTGCTTTTTTTATTAAAGTGTTTACATTTTAATACTCCAATTTTTATATTTTATATATAAATGTGCAATCAGATAAATGCAACCACGAAAAATATTTTAAAAAGAAGAAAAAATAATCTAGAAATGTGAGAGCTTAAATTCTGGTCTCATCCACAAAGAAAGTGTGTTTTATTTTTGTGTTTAAAAGAAAATACAAAGTCATTTGTGTTTGCAGTGACATAAGAGCAACTAAATAATGACCGAATCTTCATTTCGAGTGAATTATTCCTTTAATACGCCGACATTGAGTACCCAACACTCTCTCTAATACTCTTCCCTTTCATTTCCCATCTTCCTCTACCCCTCTATTTCAGCTCGATTCTCTGATTCGTTGGTTGTGGCAGTGCAGTGCAGTGCTGGTGGTGAAGAGAGCATCGAGAGGAAGCGTCAGTTTGGATTAGCTGCCTGCCGAGCTTGGGGACACGGCAAACAGAGAGCAGAGCGCTCAAGGCGGGGAGCAGGCAGTCATATCAGATCTGCAGCAAGACCACGCACAGCCTGGTGACAGTTTGACTGGCGGCATGGTCTGTGTGTGTGTGGGAGGAGGGCGAGGGAGGTAGGAGGTGTTTTAGGGACATGAGCAGGAATGACAGGATGTTCCTGTGACATGCTGCAAGTAACCAGTGCGTATGCGTGTGATAAAGAGGACGGGAGGGGCGGCCACATCTGGACACACAGCTGGTCAATGCAGCTATGCGTGTGGCCGAGCGCGCGCACACACACACAGAGCTGGAATAAGCGGCACAAACATGAAAGCCTACATCTGTCCAGCCCTAATTTTGATGCATGATGGGATTGAATCTCATACACACAACAAGTTTAAACCGAACGGGTCCGAAAACATCCGATCAAGGCATTCTCAAATCTCAAACTACAGCGTGGTCTAATGTTAAAGAAGGAGGATTTTAAAGAAATTAATACTTTATTCAACAAGGACGCATTCAATTGATCAAAAGTGACAGCAAAGGCATTTGTAATGTTCATTTTATAATTCAGCTTTGTCATCACAGAAATAAATGACATTTTAAAATATATATAAAAAAAAGTTACTTTAAAATTGTAATAATATTTCACAATATTACTGTTTTTACTGTATTTTTTGATCAAATAAATGCAGCCTTGGTGAGAATCCTTTCAAAAACATTAAAAAAAGCCAGAATAAACATGAAAGCCTACATCTTTCTGGCCCTAATTTTGAAGCACGATGGGATTGCGTCTCATATGCGCACAACAGGTTTAAACTGAACAGGTCCGAAAACATCTGATTGAGGCATTCTCAGCTCAAACTACAGCACAGTCGAATCTTAACTGGGTTCTGATTGGACGATCACAAGGACAGACTGACATTCAGAGGAGAGGATCTGCAGAGACTGATGAGGGGTCATGGAGTGCTCTTCAACTCACACAGACTCACACACCTACCTATGCATACACATATACACACACACACACACACACACACACACACACCCAGGAGGAGAGCTTGTTTTAGCCCGGTTGAGTGTGTCGTCCTAATGAGGGTCAGAAAGGACAGGCAATATACAGGACACTTGCTAGAGGACAACAGACAGCGAACAGGAAGAACCTTGTGTGGTGTTGTAACATTATCTATTTAGGCTTTTAGTCTTTTTTTCAACCTTTTGTGTGTTCCTTTTTTTCCTTTAATTTTCCCTCATGGTTTATCTGAAAGAGACCATTCACCCAAAACATGAAAAATTATTATTTACTCAGCCTAATGTCATTCCAAACCTGTATGACTTTCATTCTTCAGCACCTTCAGAGTAAAATTTTGAAGAATGTAATGAATTTCTGTGCAGTTACAGTGAATATGGAGACAAAAGGAAGTCAGTCATACTGGTTTGGATCAACATGAGTGTGAGTAAATGATGACAAGTTTCATTACAGAGTGAAATATTCATTTTGTTTTTTAAGCAATGACAGGCTCCCTTCTGTCTATAAATTGGCATATATCAATCGGTTGACCTAAATCAATCTGAGTCATCAAAAACTTCCTGTTTTAAATCTACATTGGGCTCTTTCCTGTGCCCTGCCACCATTTGCATTTTTTTGTTTTTCTGCTGAGGTGCATTAGCTCAGTGCTAAGTGCTCCATGCTGAAAGCTGTGAGGCACAGAACAGGGCAGCTGGAAGAAAGAAACCCATTACAGACGTCTAAAGCTCGGGCCATTATGGTGCCTGCTGTTCAGATTATCTACCAAATCGGTCAAGCCTGGCCAGTTCATTTAAACACACTTTCGCCCCACACTGGCACATCACCACATGAATGTGTGTGTAAACATATATCCTTATGCCAAGGTTAATATGGTTAATAAAAAATTAAAGACAAAACAAGTAAAAAAAAAAAAAAAAAAAAAAAAAAAAAAAAAAAAAAAAGCACAATTAAAAGAAAATAACAGAGCTTATATAATATAATATAATATATAATACTATGGTTAAAAAATTTGGGTCAGTACATTTTTTAAAGGAAATAATACTTTTATTTAACAAGGATACATTAAAATGATCAAAATGTTATAATTCAGTTATAATTATAATGTTATGTTACAATATAATATAACTAAAAAAATTAAAAATAAATGTAAATTAAATAAATTTTCAAAATTACAATAATCGTAGATTTTTGTCTCGGTGTGTTTTAAATCCATAGTAATATCAAAGTTCATTTAAATTCTTCATAGTTTGCATTAAACAAGAAAATGGTGTGGCATTTACATTTCGGTTTATGCTAACAACCTTGATTCCAAAGTTGACCATTTTCTATTCCTTTTTATCCCCACCTATTGTATCTCTAGCTGAACTTACAGCTATAATGTATATATTACTTGGCTTAATTTGTGGTAAAAATGACAGAGAAAGGCTTCTTTAAGTAGGACAGCGAGCAAGTGCTATTCATCATAATCGGCCTCGCACTCACACGCACAGCTTGACTCCCATTTATCATTCCATCGGCTGATTATTTGCATATTAATCAGCCACTGGAGCATGATGGTGTGCTCGGCAGCCAGTCACAGAGGAGGAGAGGCGGGTAATTATCATATATCCCGGCGCTGATGGGCTAATTGATTACAACAGCTCAAGGAGGCCCTTGAGAGAGCCCAGGGGGCCTTTTCTGGATGGCCCCTGTGAGACAAACCCCCCTCCCCATCCACGCTGCACCAATTTAACCCAACCCTCCAATGTCTTTCCTTGAAATCCAGGTCAATGGAAATATAAAAATTGATGACTGCTAATAAATGGCATAACAGGGTTTAAAAAGGCCTTGAACTGCAAAATAATATCTAGATTTTTACATCCATAACTCACAGTTTGAGATATTCACATCCATAGTACAAGCAACACGGAATAAATAACACACCGAAGTGTAATACTTAAGTTTAGAGGCTTGTTCAAATCCTTAACCCTAAGTATGACCACTAATAATAACATAGCGCTTCAATAAACATCTGAGATCGATCATCAGAACGCTGTTGTCCTAGCATAACGATTGCACATTAAAAGTGGGTCAACAGTATGATCCTGTATCCATTTAGTCATGAGCAATTTAAATTCTCCCACCGTAAAGGCTGAGCGAGGAACAGCTGGCTGAACTACACTAAGATTTGGTTTGCCCTCGGTTGTTTATTCAAGCCAGGCTAAAACCAGTATCTGTCAAACTATTAAAGGAATGCAGCCATTAGCATTTTCAGGAAATTTTGTTTTTCTTCTTGAACTGCATCTCAGAGTGCGCTATATTAATCAGACAGATATTATAAGCCATCCATTAAAGTCAAAATGAAACCTTTCAGAATGAAACAACATTCTCTATACAGAATTGACTGGATCGTCAAAAAATGGGAGAAAAATTAGAACAGACAGCTTGCTTTTTTCTTGTGATATTTTCAGTGTTAGATGTTCGAGAGTAATCTAATTTTGGCGAGAAGCGGATGTGATTGGTGAAAAAGAGATATGAGGGAGAGTTTTGCATTCTCAAACGCCCATGCCAAGTGATAAGAAAGCCGAATGAATGGTGGCTTTGATGGCAGCTCAGGATGTGAGGAGTGAAACCGAGAAACCAAAGCCACATCAGAAACGAGAAGCTTCACATCCGTCTTGAGCCACTATGCATTTTTCTCTGTATAGATGAAACTACAGTGACATCTACATATGAAGCTACACATGAGTGTGTGATGGTAAACAGTGATGGGGTGTTACCTTGTGTCTGTCCAGGCATTGGCAGCAGTGCCTGGCCCAGCTCTCCGTTCAGCCATAACTGCATGCGTATAAACGGCTCTCTCCCTTTCTGTGTGAGCTTACTCCAGTGCTTTGGCCGAGAGAGCATGTCGCTCACGCTCCCCTGAGAGAGGCCTAGCACCTGCAACCCGCACACAAACACACACAGGCACGCACACAAACACACACGCAGGAGATATGGTACATCAGATTCAGAGAAAAACAGCCCTGAAACAAATACAAAGATATTTCATGATGCAATAAGAAGAAAGATGAAGCTGTTATTACAAACTCATACATTTGCATGGAGTATAAAAATGAAACCGACACACAAGCGCTCAAATTGTTTCTTAGTGGGCAATCGGTGGAAGCGTAACTGATGTGAAAAGCACTGACCTTCTCACCAAAGATTCGCTGGCAGATGCCATTCTTGGCTAGTTTGTCTTTGACCTGCTGTGTGAGATCGACAGTGTCCACTTCCTGGTACATGTAGTACTCGTACTGCTCAGGTGTAAGCGGGGGCACCACAGGTTTGGCGACTTTGGAGAGGGACAGTAAAGGTGAGGAGGAAGGCAGTGGACTGCTCTGAGGGGTCTCACTGCCGCTGGGCATCTGCAGACTCAGCTCTGAGCTCTGGGAGTATGGGGACTCTGAGCTTGGCCAGTCTTTCCAGTAATCCAGAGAGGAAGCAGGAGCCACGGGTGCAGTGCTGCCCAGCCGAGGGAGCTTCTGGTGGGGACAAGGAGTAAAAGTTGGGGTTAGCCATATGAGGAAACTGCGTGTGGCTAAAGGAGGAGGAAGTGGGCTATTCTAGTATGCAAGGGTGAGAATACTCTGACTGGACGGATGTAAAGTAAACATAGCGCTTATGAATGAAATGGTATTCTCTGTATGCAATATAGATGTTAGGGTGGTTGCTAGCATATTGCTGTGCAGTTGTTAGGACGGAGGCTTTTGCAGGGTGTCAAAGGGTGCCAAGTGTGTGCTAGGGGTCCGCAGAAAAATAGTGTAAAAATAAATAATTAAATTAATTAAATAAAAATAAATAAATAAATAAAATGAAACCTTTCAGAATGAAACAACATTCTCTATACAGAATTGACTGGATCGTTTGACTAAATTCAACATTATTACAGTTTCATTCTTCTTTCTAAAGACTGGTCTAAAATCATGAGATGAATCACAATTATTTATTCTGTTGCCATAGTTTTACACTTATCTTCTGATCTGCATGCGATAAAAGATATTGAGTCAACTTATTAACAGTATTGTTATTGTTAACTAAAACTATTCAAATAGTTTTCATTAACTGTAATAAAAAAATGACATAAAATATACATATTACATGAAAAAAATTGCCTTGGCACGAACTAAAATAAAAGTTGAAGTTGCAGTAGAATTACTAAAATTAAAACTGAAATAAATGAAAGCTAAATAGAAATATTTAATTACTGTTTATTGTTTAATATTTAATTAATTTTTTTTTTAAACTAACCAAAATGAAAAAAGCACATAACAAAATACTAAATTTAAAATGAAAACTAAAAGTATAAAAATAAAATTATTAATAAATACCATAATAGCATATAAATACTACTAAAAAATACATTAATAAACTGTAAATATTTATACATGTTATATTGAGAAAACTTGTGGGGATTAATTAAGGAGTAATACTGTAGGTATATGGGGATGTGTGGCAAAAAGTGATTAATAATGCACTATACCTCCTTGGTATCCTCTTGGCTGTGTGCATCTTCACTAACAGAGGTCTGCCCGGTTCCGCGACGCTCAGAGAGACCTGTGCTCCACCAGTGCTCCCTCCAAGAACCCCCACCTAAACCTCCTCCACTCTCAGAGAGACGTCCGAGCTTGGGCACTCCGTCCACCCCCACATCTGAGACGGCCACTTCACCCATCTCCTTCTTCACCCCACTGTGGAAGTCCAAGAGAGGAGAGGTGGAGGGCTTCTTCAGAGACTGAGCAATAGGTGTGTAGGGGAGGGTGGAGAGCGGGGAGCCCAGGAGCGAGAGATCGGTTGGGGCCATAGAGTTGGCCTTCAGTACGGGCTCCAGAGCCACCTGCTGGGCCTCCATCTCCCTCCGAGCCTGCTCAAGGATGGAACGAATGTTCTCGTCAGAGCTGCTGGAGGAGGACGGAGGCTGAGAACTCTCAACTGCAGGAACAGAGGAGAACATGTAAGTGGTCACAATCTGTTTTATCTATAAATCACCATATTATTACTCATAAAAGAGGAACTTAAAGAAGTAGTATACACAAAAATAAAAATTCTGGCATTATTTTCTCATCCTCATGTTTTGCAAACCCTTTCCACACTGAAGAATGTTGACAATAAAAAGATACAGTGACCGCAAGCTGTTAAGCTTCAAAAAGGACAAGAGTACAACAAATGTACTAATTATTGGTCTTTTTGCACAAATTTGTTGTAAAGACTACTGTTATGATATTCTTGTGGAGTTTTTCGTCATTTTTGGAGCTTGAAAGCCCCTAATCACATACTTCTAAAGTATGGAATTGAGCAGCGCGAACATTCTCCAAAACATCTTCTTTTGTGTTTTGTGTTCCACAGAAGAATGAATGTCATACAGGTTTGCAAAAACATGAGGGTGAGTAAATGATGACAGAATTTTTGTTTTGGGTGAACTATTCCTTTAAAAGGTGCCAATAAGAGATTGCTGCCCTATGCTACCCAATAATATTTCAGAATAAATTTGGAGTTTAATGTGACAATTTATCAATATTATAGTTTCAAATAATAAAGTTAAACAAAGACGTCTGTTTTCTGTGAGTTAGACCGTAAAAGATTTCTCAACATGTGCATAGGTTTTTTTATTTTTATTTTTATTGATGTATATATATATAAAGCATACATCGGTCATAAATCCCCATGACTCAGACTGATTTATGACAGTGAGAAGTTCATTGGAAGCAGTAGCGCTCTTGGCATGGAGGGAAATCTTGGGGGGAAACTTTCAACAGACAGCACAAAACCTCACCAAGTCTTAGACTGTGTGCATATATTTGGAAATAGCTGCCCGACCCTCTGTGGTAACCTGATCGCCGTTGCCTCTCCCCCACACCGTCTGCAGTGGCAGGTGGGGAAGAGACAGTTAGTTTAATTCCGTTACACAAGCTTGGACAGGAAAAGGTAAAGGAGGGAATTTAAACACTCAAAAACAGGGGGGATACGACTCAGTATGTTATTGACTGATATAATCATTTGTTTTAGACAGTGCTTGTTCAAAAATCTGCATTGCAATTACAGTTTTAGCCAACATGCACTATCATTCAAAAGTTTCAGGTTAATAAGTTTCTTTTTATGTTTTTGAAGTCAGTCTCTTATGCTCACTAAGGCTACATTTACTTGATCAAAACTATAGTAAAAACAGTAACATTGTGAAATATTATTACAATTTAAAATAAGTGTTTCTACTTTAACACATATCAAAATGTAATTTAATCCTGTGATGGGAAAGCTGAATTTCAGAAGCCATTGCTCCAGTCTTGTCACATAATCCTCACACTCACTTTTTTCAGGATTCTTTGATGAACAGAAAGTTGAAAAGGACAGCATTTATTTGAAATATAAATGTTTTTACTGTCACTTTTGATCAATTTAATGCATCCTTGCTGAATAAAATAATTTCTTTCAAAAAACTTTTGTATGATGTATGATGACACCACAATCAATTCTACAACAGAAAACTTGTTGACTCAATTAGAAAAAGTGAATGCAAGAATGATCGTATTCAGGTGGTAACAGTAAGTTCTATCCTACAGAAAGTGACCTAAGTGATTGTGGGGAAGTGGAAAACACACGTGAATGCCTTGATCTTTCCTTGATTTCCTGATGACAGAAAAAGACTCACCTGCTTTCTGCACTTGCAACTCTCTCTTTGCCTGCTCCAAGATGGACTTGATGGCTTCATCGGAGCCGGTCTCAGTCGTGCGGATCCGTGTGGTGATGTTACCTGTGAAGACACGAGAAGGACATGTAGCTGTGAGTGACACCTCGTGTGTAAAAACATATAGTTCTGTTTTGTCTTGAAATATACAATCTTTAAGACTGAAAATGGCAAAAAAAAAAAAAGCTATTTCTGCATGACAAAGCAAGAGTTCAAACAGATGCAAACACAAGCTTATTCTAAACAACAAACTATCTGATACACTAAAATAAGTCTGGCATTTTTTTATTTTCTGGAATTGCAATCCTGCAACCAAACTCAATGGCACAAAACAAAAAAAAACGTTATCAATTGTTTGCTTGTCTATAATATTGTGTGTATCAGCACCTGTGCTGCCCGTGGCTAAAGCGGCAGTTCCTGTGCAAGGACTGAAAGCTTTTCCTGTCCTCCACAACAAAGAGACGGTAAGATTTGGATAAAATTCATGAGAAACAACAGAGCTTGTGCGGAAATATCATCAGACGGGCCAGTGCAATAATAATAAATATGGAGAGAGTGAGAGAGGGAAAAAGTGGCAGAGGGAAAGTGCCCGACGAGCAGTGGGCAGCGGGGCAAGGTCAGAGTCACTGGTGTGTGAGGACAGCAGCTGGACGTGTGTGTGAGGTGGAAGTAATGCTCTCTCACCCTCTCTCTCTCTCACACACACACACACACACACACACACACACACACACACACGGGTGGCTAGCCACCCACAGCGCCACCCTGGGGGAGACTCAACCACCAGTTGTAATGTGGTGGCACTGTTGATGTGCCTGAAGGATTCTGCCACACACACACACAAGCTGACCACAAAATAACAGGACAGACTTCTCAAGGACCTCTGTGATGGAAAGTTACATTGGTTTAGACTTGATAACACTCACACAGAGTTTTTTCCCCCCACAGTTTGAAACTAATCTGTGAAGTCAAAGGTGTAGCATTTATTGTAAACAGCTGTCTTCCGACAGTCCGAATGAGATCTTTTTAAATTCCAGTCACCCCTCTTCCAGCCCTGTCTGTCTCACTCGCTTGTTTTGCAACAGATTCCAGGCCAGAGATTGAGAAGAAACAGACCAGCACAACAAAAACATACAAGACACAGCGGTTCTGACACTGCAGAAACCCGTAACACGAGAGGGAAGGCGTGAGACAGACCTGGCCGCGTGGAGCCTTCCGAGCCGGTTCTTCGCTTCGGAACATCCTGAAACACTCTGTTCAGGTTCTGGCCTGGGTTCTCTGTTGGAAAACAAGTGGCGGAAGATAGAAATAAAGTAAGACCAAGCCCTAAACTTCTGCTGTCAATTGTCCAATCATCTCCAGGGCTCAACAATAAGAATGACAGATTTTTTTTTAAGTCTTTTGACAGAAATGTCACCTGACCTACAGGCCTAGTGCTGCAGCATTGGTATATTTTACATTTGCTGACGAGCAAATATCTTGCATTTGGAATCTGATTTCTGCTGTTTAGCTAACACAGATTAAGTTTTGCCATATTTGGAAGAGATGAATAGCCTTCATCAAAACAAATCAGTTACGTTTCGCACCATATGCAATCATTTTCCAACAAAAATTATGAATAAATCCATAGCTTTCAGAGTTACATTGTAGTTTTACAATTTCCAGCCATTACTGAAAATAAAAAACCTAGAAAACTTCAGAAATCTTTACCAAAATATACATATATTTTGTTTAATATTATATAACTTACACATTTTTCTGCTTTTTAGAAAAATGTATTTTATAGATTTTTTAAATTTAAATTAAAATATATAGTAGCTTTATATTAATTCCCCATTGGGGAAACTCGTACATTTACAAACAACAAGAAAAAAAGACATTACAGTCACAAACAATAATAATGTAATTTATAATATAATTAAAAATGAATGTAACATTTAAAAATGTCAATTTTTTATTTTTATATTTTTTCTGAAAAGCAAAAAGATATATATATATTTGAATTTTTATGGTAATTTATTAATTTAACATGAACTTATCTGAAAAGCAGATAAAAATTCAGTTTTTAAATTTTTATGTAAGCAGTTATTTTAACATAATTATTTATATTATTTATATCACTATTAATTAATTATATAAATCTATTCCTATGAAAAGCAATATATATTCCTTTTCTGAAGAATATAATATGTTGCAAAGAATCCTTATTGTTGAGCCCTGGTCTTAAATGGTTGTCAAAATGTCTTCACAGTCAGTTTTGAGAGCACTTAGTAATACTAATCCAAAGTAATACCTTTACATGGACAGATGCATGTAAATATCCTTTGAATGGTAGTTTGTTAAGCTTGAACACATATCGACCAAGTCTGACCTCAAAGAAAGCCACCTGCACAGTGCAGAATTCACTCGAGTGATTATTTAAACGTTAATGTGCTCCTTTAGCCCAAGTCTTTGATGTGAATGAATGGGTTTTAAGGTTTTTACAAAGTTCGTACTCCCATGGGAGACCACAAGCCGACACTATGGAGGCAGACAGCCAGACCAGACTCCCTTGAAGACGTTCCAAACCAGTGTGCAGACGTAAGGGCAGCACAGTCAGTCTTTTTCAGCTCCGGCTCGGTTTCAAAACTACTGCCTCACAGCTAGACTGAACAAACTTAGACTCGGCTCAACACGGCTTCAAGGATTCACAGCCAACTGCCCTCATATGCAAGTACTCTCGCTCACGCTGGGCTCGGCCTTGATTTGTTCGCTCTAGCTGTGAAGCACAGACTTGAGGCAAAACATAATGCTCGCAAACCTCTCTGAACTTCGTCTTCACCCGTAGGCTGAGACCGAAATGAAAGAAAGGGTAGACTGCTGAAGTTTAGCTCTAATCAACACACCACCTGTGCCAACTGAGTACTGAGTGTTTCAGTCAGAATCTAGTATCTAGTCTCTATGGGCTTTATGTAGTTATCTAAGGAATCCCAATCTTAAAGGTTATGTGCACCATTTCATAGTGGATGAAAGGGTTAGTTTAGCCTAAAGCTTATTGGAAGGGAAACATGGAAGCCTGTTTTTGTCTACAGTAAAGAAAAAAAGAAAGAAAAAAAAAGTTAACAGCGACTTCTTACTCAACGATTATGACTTCATACCTCACAAACGTGACTTTTGTTTTTACCTCAGAAATGTGACTACTTTTCTCATAATTGAAACTATACCTCAGAAACGCTTTTACCTTTTTAACCTTTTTACCTCACAAATGCAACTTCATCTCAAAATCGCAACTTTATATCTCACAAATATGACTATACCTCACAAATGCGAAAATATACTTCATAATTCATTTCTCATAAGACTTTTACTTACCAGTTTTTCCCTCACAAACGTGACTTCATATCTCAATTGCAACTACCTCACAAAATGATTTTATACCTTTCTTTACTTTTTCTTGACTTAATTTCACATTATTGTGACTTTATACCTCACAAATAAGACTTCAGACCTTAGAAATGCGACTTTTACCTCACAAATGTGACTTCATACCTAGGGTTGGGTATCGTTTGAATTTGATCAATTCCGATTCTGCTTATCGATTTCGATTCCAAAATGATTAAATAATAACATCAAACATTTATTGGAGCTGAATACCATGAACAAAAATCAACAGGCTACATAAAAACTAAACTCTTTAAGAGCTGTTTGTGTGCAAAACAGAACTGCATGATTCTGAATAAATTTAGTTGGTTTTTTCCCCCCAGTGGAAGTTGTGGTTCTCTCATGATTTTGAAGAAAAAACATTAGACAACTAAACAAAATCACATGTAATTTATGAATGAATGATTAAATGACTCATTCAAGATGCACATGTTTCATTACTGGATGAATCAGCGTTATTGAACGAATCTCTTGTATGATTCAAAGACAAATACATTTGAACAGCCCCTTTTCGCCACCTATTGGCGTTACAATGTAATCGATAAATCTTCATTTGAAGTGTCAAATTACTTTCAAAAGGTGATTTACTCTATTTTAATCGCTACCATACACATCGTACACACAGTTTATATCTGAACTATAAACTTTTATCCCAGTACTTCTGTGATTTGAATGTTTGTAACACAGAAATAATGATACTGTGTGACTGAAAAGCCTGAAGCCGTTTCATTCATGACAGACAGCTGCTCTCTTTAGGTCAATGGCAGCGCGAACGCAAATTTAAATGTTCAAATCACACTGGTGTGATCATACTCTGCACGGATGAACCAAGTGATCACAACATTGATTGCACACGTCAAAGGCTGAGGAATGAAACAGACGAATCATTGTAATTTAGGAGTAGAATCAGGTTGTCGTTTGAATCATGTTCACGATCTTTAACGATCTATTAAATTAAAGTGCTTTGTCATGTTGGTGGTGACACCTCTCTTGCAACATGTTTAGCTATCACAGATATTATAATTAGCTTTTGGCTTCTGATCGCAAATGTAGCCAAACTTTGGAGCGCTTAGATTAGCGAGCATAGGAATCGATAGGCAGAATCGAAATTTTAATTTGACAAGTATCCAATTCCTGACCTTAAGTATCCGATTCTGGAATCGGAATCGATTTTCGATTCCCAACCCTATTCATACCTCACATATATGCAAGATTTTCAACCCACAAATGTGACAAAAATGGTGACTTTATACCTAACAAATACGACTACTCCTCAAAAACGTTACTTCATCTCTCACAATTGCAACTTCCTATCTCATGAACATGACTTTACCTCTCACAAATGTAAATGTATACCTCACAACTCTAACTTCATACCTCACAAATACCACTTCATAACTGAATTCATATCTCACAATTGCAACTTTATATCTAATGACTTTATATCTCACAAATGAGACTTTATACCTCACAACTGTGACTTCACACCTCAAAATCACAACTTCATATCTTAACTATTGTAACTTTATATCTCACAAATGCAACTTTATTTCCCACAGGTTTTTATTTTAAAATTTAGTTCACAATTACCGGTTTGATTGTGGCAAAAAACACAGCAATCGCAAAGCACTGCCCTCTCTTGTTATTGCACATATTTGACTATTTAAAGTATCTGATTTGACTCTTTAAAGAAATGCGTACTCTAAATGTGAGACTGCTAACATCAGTGTGCCTATGTTTAAGTTGCTTACATGTGACAGGAATTGCCATGCTGTTAACTGAGCACTATTTAATCCCATGCATATTGTTTGAAAATAAACGTGCGTTGGGAGATCATCTGCGATAACAAGGTTAAGTTGCTTCCTCAAGCTCTGTAACTGACCTCTCTGCCTGCCCTGGATGCTCCTAAGCGCCAGGATGTTCTGCTCATCAGACAGGAAGTGCTTCATCTTGTGAAAGGGCTCTTTGCCACGGATAGTTAACTTGCTCCAGGGTTTGGGCCGGGCCAGAATCTCACTGACCGAGCCTTGGGACAGACCCAACACATAATGGCCGAACACGCGCTGGCCGATATTGTGTTTGATCAGCTGCTCCTTGACCTGTCGAGCAATCTCAGCCGTGTCCATTTCCTCCCCTTCCGATGTGCTACCCGCACCCTCTGACTGGCTGGGAGAGGGCGCCAGGCCGTTAACCTCCGGGCTGCCCGCTGACTGAGGGGGTAGGGGGCTGGAGAGAGAGTTGGTTGTAGCGTAATGGGGCGGCCCGAAGAGCACAGAACTTGGAGAAGGGTCGTGGAGGGCTTTGGTGTAGATGGTTTGCATGAGCTGCCTCTGAAGAAGAGAGTTGAGTGCCATTTTGCCAGCCAACGGGGGGAACGTGGCGCCCACGCTGGCCATGCCGGGGGTAAAGAAGTCTGGCCCGATGCCCGTGGGGGAGAAAGGGTGGGTACCGTTGGCACTGGCAGCAGATTCGGAGGTAGCGGTGCCCGTCCTCATCAAAAGCTGGGGGGAGGGGGGAGGAGGGGACCCCTGGAGTGTGGTAGGGACTGGAGTGGCAGGAAGACGCTGAGGGTTTTCCACTGTGGTTTCTTTACTTTTCCGCCCCACTGATCCTGTAGAACAAAAAAAAAAACGTGATTTAGACCTAGAGATAAATGTACAGTAAAATCCTGGCAATGTATCATCCTGAAGGTGTTTATTTTGGGATACAGGCCGACTTACTGTATATTATGCCACTTATTACATGGCTACTTAATAAATAGATGTAATGTTGAAATGATTTAATTATGTGAGAAGAAAGAGAACAGAGTGATATTGGAGACATTCAAATTAGCATTGGTTACCTGGAACAAAAGACAATATTTATACAAAGCAATTATTATACACAAATATATGACCGCAGAATATCATTTGATCAATTACAATCAAGTGTTCAGAAAGCTGCTGAATATAATTCCAATGATATCCTGTACACGGTCACTGTAAAATAATTTTTTTTTTTTATGATTGTAGTTCTTTGTCACTTTTTATTGATGGAAATGGGACAGGAATTAATTTAGAGCAGAAATGGGATTGGAACCTGTAGCAGATCAGATTCAAACCACACTACAAAAAATATTTGAAGCTGTAAATAAAACAGATTAGAGTACATTTTTTACAAAAAAAACTTTTTTTAAATGTCATATTTAATTGAATGTGTTACTTGCTGTTTCTCTGTAATTTTTTGTGAAATTTACTAGAAATTTCGGAGTGAAAAAAGCTTCTACATCAAATTTTTTCAGTGCACAGCCATATCTACATTTCCCCATTTTTTCCCAATAAATCAAACTAAGATAAATTCAAAATGTCCATTAAATGTTATTTTCTAGAAACAAAAAACTAAACAAAAAAAACAAGCAAAAACAAAGTGCCAAAGACTTGTTTTGTACGCTTCAAGGAAATCTGTTTTGTGTATGTGTATGTGCCAAAGGCTGACGTTTTAACACTGATCTCCTCTGAGGTCTGTAGACTAGCAGGCATGTCCAGAGATATCAGGCCAGGCAACTGTGCGTGGGCTACCTGCTCATGCTGTGGGGACTGTTCTTGTGGGTGTCAGTACGGTTATCCTTTTTGCCATGACAAAACACCTCTGCTGTGTGCGCTTCCATAACAATACCATCACTTTATACAATGGTGGCAAAATCAATATTCAGCGCAACAGAATTCTGTTGGCTGTCAGAGACTGATGCATGCTACGATCACACATGATTCTCAGACATTGCCGTCAGCAGAAAATGCCAGGTTTTAAAATGCAAAATTTGTGATAGAAAGTCACATTTAAAACGCAAATTAAATGTATGACCTCCATAGGGGTATCCAGAGGTGTTCTGTAATGACATTTCCAATCTTACACACACAGAGCATGGTCGAAAGAGCAGGAAAAGGGAAAAAAAGGCCTAATTATCACACTGGTCTCTGCTAGCCGTTCAGGATTTATGCAAGCCCCAGGTGACCTGATCTCCTACAAGCCAAAGTGTAATATACTGCTGCCTCTAGAAAAGGATGAACTGACCCTAACAACAAAAATGCCTCCAAACCTAACTCGTCACTCTCAGGATGATCTGTAATGATATTTATTTATTTTTTTCCTTGGGGCAAAATAAAACCATACAGCCATAAAGTTCTGAAAGTTTATTAGGTCATGTTGCATGTCCACCTGCGTTTTAGGCAAAGTTAGGTTTGAAAAAAAGGAATCAATAAATCATGCCAGTTCCTGTGTGTAAGCTGCAACTTCGCAATTTCCCAGTGACTGGCTGGTTAATGTACCTCGGAAGAGGCTGGATACCATGTAAACTCACCACTGAAGTCATAGTTGGCCAGTCGTTTCAAAGCTCTCTCTGACAGCTGGCTATGGACTTTCCCCGTCAGCAACATCTCCAATGGCTTGGATGAGTCCTAAAATGAAGAAGGGATAAGAGTAAGAAAAAAATACACAGGAAGGTAGGAAAGGAAGGGAAGTAAGGGAACAGAAAGGAGGGGGAAAAGGAAGTGAGGAATGAAGTAAAACAGGAAGGAGGAAAATGAAGGAAGAAAAACAAAAGTAAAGTCATAGAAAGGAAGGAGGAGAAACAAATGTAAAGATTTAGAAGGAAAGAATTGAGAAATGAAATGAAAGAAGGCAGATGTGAAATTAAGTCAAAGAAAGGAAGAAAAAGTAAGTTTAGAAAGGAAAGAATTGAGAGGAAATGGAAGAGAAATGGAACAGATGAAATGAGAAAGGAAAGGAAGTGAGGAAAGACAAAAGGAAATGGAAGAAAGAAACAAGTTATGGAAAGGGGAAAATAAAGAGGGGAGAGAAAATGTAAAAAGTGAGGAAGGAACAAAGGAAAGGAGAAACAAATGGAAAGGTTTAGAAAGGAAAGAATTGAGAAAGGAAGTGAAAGGAAGGAAGTGAGTAAGGAAGGAAATGGAAAGGGGAAAAAAGGAAATGAGGAATGAAGAAAGGAGGAATATAAAGGAAGAAACAAACCAAAGGAAAGTTAAGGGAAGTTAGGAACAAAATAAATAAAGAAAATAAAACCTCCACTATCAGCTCTTTCACATGTATTTATTAAAGGAAAAACAAAATGTTTTAGAAATAAACAAGGACAAGTTATTCAGAATTTACAAAACATCAAAAGCAATAAAGCATGCTGCCTTTTACTATTACAATGCACTAGAAGAACAAATCAATACAATCAACTTCATTCTTTCTAAACACGCGATGTCTTACCTGTACTGAAGGGTGATGATCTGATGAGTTGTGCTCCATTGATTTCAGGTTGCTGTTAAGAGTGAAAGAAAGTGTTTACGTATTAAAATAATGGTGTCACAAAGCCTAACGTTCATCCAGAAGCCTTCGCTTTCCGATTCAGGTCAAGAGCTGAACGCCGCTCAGCTTAATAAGCGTTGGCTCAGCGTTCAGTATCATAATTCGAAAATTCCTGTGACACCTCCAATCACGTTACCCAAATTAACCAGCGTGCCTAGCTGCACTCTACCCAGCACTGATCTGTTATCTATGGATTAAACAGGGCCATTTTCAAAAGCACTTTTGGGTGAAAACACTCATTATATTACGGTGGAATGTGTCTCGAGTAGACAACAAGCTATCAATATACATTCAGCAAAGCGGCTTTTTAGGCCGATCATCAGACCAGCACAGATCTTAACAACACCCTCTATTCATGGATTATTTGCTTTATAAATCCCAATTAGGAATATTACGCCTAAAATCAAGTTATGCAACGGACAGCCAGACATCTCCTGAAGCCTCCCAACACACATCGACAGCACAGACGAGCGGCCGAGCCAAAAACACACACACCACTCAATTAGGTTATCGCCGATGCAAACTACGTTAGCCTCCTCATTACAACTGTGGCTGGAGATGAAACGCAGCAATCCCTCAGTCCCGAGCAGAAACCACTCTGACAACAAAGCGTGCTTAATCCGCTTTTCTCAGAAATAAGACCCAATACTCCTTGCATACCTAAGGTTCTTTGAATTTATTTAAACAGAACTGAGATTACCGCAGAGTAAAATTCCTTCTGGTAAAATATGGGAATAAAAGGTCCGTGCGCAGATGGAGCTTGGCGATCTCTGCGGTTCATATCTCAGCTGGCTGAACTACATCGGCTCAAATTCAGTACATCTGACTGTAAAGTTCAAGACCACCAGGTACTGAAAACTCACAATTCGAGCCCTGGAGCGAGAGAGGACAGGGAAGATACATGCATAACGCAGTGGTGGATAAAGGTTAAGGATGGTCTGAGGGTCTAAAATTATGTATGTGGATAAACAACACCAGGTCAGGTCACCCTAAACAAAATCTTTGCTTATTTAGGCCCACCTTAAATCCGATTCATGGTATTACGCACTTGAATGTCACGTTAAGGTTAATGCAACAATCCCATCAGCATTAAAATAATGTTAATAATGCTAAAATATTCACATAAATGTGAGGGAAAAAGGCTGAAGAGTCAGGATTATTTGCACTGACAGAATTAGTGCTTCAAAACTTACCAGAGTTCTCGTTTGATCTCCTCATAGTCTGACTGCTCTTGAAGCTTTTCTTCAAGTTGCTGGGAAGAAAAAAGGCAGACATACATATTTATAATCAAATTTGTCCTGTGAAAATTATATGGAAAATCTCACAATATTCACTTTAGAGACACTTTAAAGGAATATTGCAATGACAATTCTGTCAATGTAGAGTTGTGTAGAGCTGCACAGAGGGTCCATAGAATAAATTATCCAATATTTTCCATAAAATAAAAACAGCATACTGTTTTGGAATCACAAGAGTAAATAATGACAGATATCTTTTTTTTGTTTTTTTGGTGACCTATCCCTTTAAGGGGCTCAAAATAAATATGATATAAACAAACACAAACAATGTAACGCTTCTTTCCCTTTAAAAAGTAAAAAATATTAGATTTTATTAAATCAATAAAAAATTACAGATAAAATATTTTGGACAAAAGAAAATAAAATTATATTCAATTGAAATAACAATATATTTGTTAATATGCATTAATGTTCAAAAATTTGGGGTCAGTAAGATTTTTAAGGATTTTTTTTTTTATTCAGCAAGGATGCATTAAACTGATCAAAAGTGACAGTATATATATATTTATAATTTTACAAAAGATTTCTACTTCAAATTAATTTTAATTTTAATTAAATTTTGAATGTAATAATTAATTTAATTTTAATTAATACGTTTTTATTCATCACAGGAATTAATTATTTTAAAATATATTAAAACAAAGTTTGTAAATATATATTACAAATATATTAAAATTTAAAAAATGTTGCAGTTTATAAAGTGTAACAATATTTCACAATACACAATATTGCTGTTTTATTGTTTTTTTTAATCTAATAAATGAAGCCATGGTGAGCAAAAGAAACTTCTTTCAAAAACATCCCACAAAAAAATCTTACCAACCCACCAACTTATGACTTCCGTGTGTGTGTGTGTGTGTGTATATATATATATATATATATATATATACCTGGACCACAAAACCAGTCATAAGGGTAAATTTTTTGAAATTGAGATTTATACATGAAATTTTTTTTATACATTTATATATGAAAGCTGAATAAATAAACCTTCCATTGATGTATGGTTTGTTAGGATAGGACAATATTTGGCCGAGATACAACTATTTGAAAATCTGGAATCTGAGTGTGCAAAAAATCTAAATACTGAGAAAATCGCCTTTAAAATGGTTCCAAATGAAGTTCTTAGCCATGCATATTACTAATCAAGAATTAAGTTTTGATATATTTACGGTAGGAAATTTACAAAATATCTTCATGGAACATGATCTTTACGTAATACTCTAATGATTTTTGGCATAAAAGAAAAAGCGATAATTTTGACCCATAATTAAAAGAACCGAATACTTAAACTACTTCAGTCTGTGTGCATTTTATTTATTTAATACACGAGTTTCACAATTTGAGTTGAACTTTTCCACGACATTCTAATTTATTGAGATGCACCTGTATACCCAAGCGACTTAAAACTGGTTATGTGGTCCAGGGTCACATATATATATATATATATATATATATATAACACAAACATATATACATAGATACGTGCACACACACACACACAGCTGAAACGCACTGCAAGTCCGTTTGAATGACAGTACTGTATAACAATTTTCCAGATAATTTTCTGTTCTCATATATTTCACACTGTGAGTAAATATTGTGAAATTAATTGTACAAATTCAACAATTTTGTGTACTTTTATAGTTATATTTGCTATCATTAAATTGTGTTTTATACTTTGGCTTTATATCAGCCATTCTGTTTTCTAGGTAACATCCATTAAAAAAACAATTTCGCTCAACCACTATTCTGTAAGTGTGTGTCTATATGCATGAGAACGTATATGCGCTCATCAATCTCCCGGCACTGCACATGCTCAGATTCTGTAGTAGAAGCTGAGTCCGCTACAGGCAAGCCAGATCAGAGCAGTCTCTCCAATTGAGGCTCAGGGATGGCTTCGTCTCAGCTCAGTCTCCTGCCATCCAACCAGCTGTCATTCAAACTCTAAACATTCACTACATGGGTCACGTAGCTCGTGTGAGCCGCTGCAACATTTACAGGCCTGTCCTGCAGCCGCAGAGCAGAGATCTGACTGCTGCCACGAGCAGGACCACCCACTTCATCCAACATGAAATGTCGAGTTGAAACAGCCCGTGTCCAAACAGACTGAGTCCAGTGTTAATGCGACTTTAGACAGGCCGCTGCTCTATAATGACCCACCAGACTCTTTCACTTGTACTTGCTACGGCTGTTTAGCTAACTAAAGAGCGGCACTTCTTCATTAATGCTTATATATAAATGAAGAAGTCTGTTTGGCACAGTGATTTTACCACAGTAATGGAGTACAATGCAATGCAGCACTAACTAATAATCGCATACCACTAAATGTCTAAACACATGATCAGAGCTCAAATTATGCTCTACTTAAAGGGGTCATATGATGCTTTTTTAAAGATCATTATTTTGTGTATTTGGTCCAACAGAATATGTTGACAGAATATGTCTCTCTCTCTCTCACACACGCACGCACGCACGCACAAGATGCGCAAAACTCCGCATTTGAACAGTCAATAGCAAATACTTAAAACTAATAATAAAACAGTAGCTGATTCAGAAGCGCCAGATTGTCATAGCAAAGTCAGAATTACCTCCTCTCCTAGGTTCACGAAACGGTCGTCCATAAAATGCATTGCTGTTCTGTTGTAAGTAATCTTAAAGATTCCTAAATGCATCTACTTTCGGAAGGCCAAATAAAGTGCTTTTGCTTTCTCCTAGAAACACACAGCGTCTCCCTGACATGGCTGCTTCAACACTAACTGCAGTTACTGAAACCACGCCTTTCTTTGTGTGCACATTTGGGTGGCATTATGTTAATATTTCCACATAGTGAGGTAGATATGTGGGGGCGTGTTAGAAAGAGCCGTTTTAGGGGGGCGTGGCAGAGTCTTAACTTTGATAAAGAATATCTCTTTGGTTTTGAGACTTTTAGTCTTTGCAACTTCAGGGATCTTATCTATGCACAATCAGCTTGTAACACTCCAAAGAGAAAGGAAAACTTGAAATCGCATCATATGACCCCTTTAATATATTACCTATGTCTTTCATTAATACACTTGATATTAGTTAGTGGTCTGGCTGACCTTTAATAGGGCCTCTTTGGAGCTCAGCTGCTGCTCGAGCTGGCTGATCTGATTGGTGGAGGTCTCGCTGAGCTGGGCCAGACTGGCCTGAAGTCTCTGAACGTCCTCAGCCAAACGCTCTACCTCCCTCTCCTTCGCACCCAGCTCTGCCTCCAGACTGCTGCAAGATAGCGCCTCCAGAGACTTATCCTGTACACACAAATACACACATTTTAGAACACTGTACAGACAATGTAAATGGTAACACTTCCTGTAAGCCAAGGCAAACTTCTGTGTTCTTGAGCAGTGCGGTGTGAATTACTATTTTGTATAAAATGTATATTTAAATAAACCTGCCCTGTGTATATACTGTGCAAAGCATAATGGGGGTATTTTAAAAGCAGTATACTCATAAACTCTTATAATGTACACTGTAATTGTTTCATAAATAATTATAAATACAGTTTCAATACAGTATTACATTATTTATAATTAACTGTTCATATATTTAATGCTGTTAAAATATTAATGTTATTTTTCATAATTGATTGATCCATTAATTATTTATTCATTATAAATAAATGAATATTAAAATTTAATTACTTTTAATTTATTAAAAAATAATCAAATATTTAAATGAATAAATATTTCATTATAAAATAATAAATGATCCTGCAAATATAAAATGGCTACACTTTTTACTATCATAATATTACAATATTATTAATAATACGTTGTAATAATGTTACAAGCTCTTGGTGCATAAAGAAGATCTGTAAAGTTGCAAAGACTAAAGTCTCAAATCCAAAGAGATATTCTTTATAAAAGTTAAGAGTCAGCCACGCCTACCTAAAACGGCTCGTTCTAACACGCCCCCACAGGTCTATATCACGATGTGTGAATATTTGCATATCGCCGCCCAAATGTTCACGCAAAGAAAGAAGGCGTAACTTTTATTCTCGCTGTAGTATTGTTGCCGCCGTCGCCATGTCGTGAAGGCACTGTGCGATTCTCAAGCCCTCTCAAGACTCAAGCCCGCCGCATCTGCTCACTCTAGCCCTCCGGCCGTTCCTCACTCTAGCCCCCGGCCTCTGCTCACTCTAGGCCGCCGCCGCGTGTGACGCTGTGTTTCTTTGTGAGAGCAACACTACTTTGTTTGGTCTTCCAAAAGAGGACAATATCCGCTTCGTCATGCCTAGAGCTGATCCGTGCTGGTTGCTGAGGAAATACAACAACTTTGCGCTGTGGATCGCCGGATCTGCTTTCACCGTGGAGGAAGCGGAGTCCAGCCCGGGGTCGTCAAATGTTGTTGCCACAAGCCCTCCGGACCCTTCGTCGAATCCGCCGGCCTCGCCATTCTCAAGCCCGCCGCATCTGTTCACTCTAGCCCTCCGGCCGTTCCTCACTCTAGCCCCCGGCTCAGCGATTAGAACAGTCCAAGAATTTATCTTTTTCTTTTGTTCTTTGATTTACATCAATGAGAGACTTCAGCAGGTTTCACTTTAAAATTAGCGCTGTCTCTTTAAAACCTGATGTATATGACGCAGGTCTGACACATATCCGATTTTCTCACAACTCTTTAAGGTTATTTAAGACTTTATAACTAAAACTACATTTACAAAGTAACTCGCCAAAACCGCGCATTTTGACATAATTGTGTGTGCCTTGAAGCGCTACTGGTGAGCTGTCTGAAGCGGCTCAGCGTATCTGTACAGCCAAATGCACAGCCTTTCAAACAATACTTCACTGCACCGTTTAGGCGGCGTAACCCCAGGTATGTGTCACCGTATTCTCGGGTTATGAAGAATAAAGAAGGGGAAAGTTAATCTTCCGAAATTAAGCAGCAAAATCTTCTCAGGTAAAAGTTATTAGAACCGTGTCTAGGGACAAGCTGGCCATCACACTACTCTGACCTTATCAGCCCGTTTGTATCCTATTATTTGATTTGCTCTTATGACAGAACAGCTAATCACGATGATCTTGTCTTCGGAAAATATTATTTTATTCGCTTATGTTAGAAACAGTGAATCTCTTTAAAAAGTTTTTTTTTTGTTTTCACTTCATTGCATTGTTATAATTCGTAAAAGTTGTACCTGCCAACTGGCGACTGACACTGTTACATGGACTCGCCAACGCTGATTTTTACTCGCATTTGGTGCTTGGCGAGTGTTAATTTTAGGCCCTGCATGTAGAGTTTCACTCTTACCATTTCTGGAGCATTTTGGATCTGATTGGATGGTTGAGCTAAAGTGAGCTGCTCCCTCAAGCTCACAGCCTCCCTCTCTGCTGCCTTGGCCCTCTGTGGGCCACAAACAGAACAAATAGGTTAAAAATTGCCTAAGTCAAGGATACATACAGTAACCATTATATCGACCGACATTTGTAAATTATAAAGACTGGTATCTAAAAGATCACAGGCCTGTTTTTTTTTTATAGCAGGGCTGAAAAATGTTAACTGAACTCACATGAGTCCTACTTGGCTGAGTGCTCTAGTATTCAAGCTAAAGTGTGTCAAGGTATGTATGGTTGGTTGATTCACAGAACATGCAAATCCTGCAGAGTTCTTTTTTTAATAAAGATTGTGGTGTTAATTCATTTGTTGCCCTAGAATGGATGCCTGACCTAAAGACAAATGGCTAGATTCACGATGAGACTTCAAAAGTTAAATGTATTGTAAAAGCTGCTTAAAGCGTTCAACCTTTAGCTGCACCGAATCCAACGCTACCATCTTTATGCATTTATGGTAATGACTAGCTTAATTATGCTAATTTATTCTAAACGTCTACGTAAAAAGTCTTACCAAATGTTATTTTTTCTGTTGATTGGAATAATGCTGCTAATGAAAACAATGATTATAAACTTTTTACTCGGGTGTTTGTTTATTGTTTGCCCTACATTTTCAAAAAACATAAAACTAAGTTTATCATTTTTAAACAAGCAAACTGATTTTACAGTATTTACAAACAGATACATTCTGAATTTTTTTTTGGAGTTTTGAGTAAGCTTGCAAGAAATATGTCAAGAAGAGATAAATTCTAAAGAGATAAATAATAATAAT